TGTCTTAAAAACTGGTATATATTTTCTCTCTCAGTTTAATTTATATGTGAAATTAATATAAAGACGCTTATTTTTGCTTTTAAAGCAAATGTTGGTCTTTATTTTTTTAGTTTTGAAAGGAACATTGAAAAGTTTTACTATGCATATTACATTAATTTAATATCATCTCGGAATAAATAGTTTAAAACGACAAAAATGACTCGTGAAATATTCATCGTTCTGTATTTTTAAGTAAATTTAATCTTTATCCTAGAATTATTTTTTAAAGAAAACGTTTAAACATATATTTGTTTTATGACTTGAAAATGAAAGTATTCTTAAAGCTTTCAACTAAAAAAATTTTGTGGCAGTTTTGGTTGCGTATTGTAATAAATTAGATGTAATATCCGGCTTTACCAGGAAAATGAATTATAAAAGAGAAATTTTAAAGTGTATCATTTCTCAGAAGGATTTTTGACATTTTAATATGAGATGCTTTAGAAATAAAGCTATTAGACGGCATGAGCTGTTTAGAAATAAAGGTATTCTTAATATTTAATGCGTTGCGAGAGTTATGTGGTATCATGGAAAATATTCGATATATATTTCTCTTTTTAAAAGTACTTTACGAATTAAGTTTTTTGCTCCCTTTTTGAGAAATAAAACATTTTAAAATTTTGTCCATTTAGATTATATAACCTATTTTCATGCATTAAGATATTCCGTTACTCAATTGTTTTGAAATAATCGTTTTCAAAATCAGCTTTTTCCATTCCCTGTTAATTGTACTCAAGTAGTCGTTTTATAAAATACAGTTAGCTTTCTTCCATTTCCTATTAATTATATGGAAATGATGTGTTTTTAAAATAAAATCACCAAAACAATTTGATTCTTTATGATACCTCAATCTTTTTTTATATGATTCAGAATCAGACAAGCTTTAGCGAAAAATTTTAATCAATTTTAGAAAAATAATTCATCGTTTCCATAGAATCTCATAGATATATAAAAAACAGATTAAAAATTTTGTATTGTTTTTCCATAAATAAAAATTAAAGGTGGTTTAGTAAAAGCGGTTGAGATGTTTATAAAGTAATTAATTTATTTATTCCTCTCTTATGATTTTTGGATAAGTATAGAAAATTTAATGCAGTTATAAAACTCTAATTGAGCTTCATTAATTGACGCAACATTAGTTTAAAATTTAGTTGCGTACTTACGAGAATGATATATGTTGAAATATGCGAATGTTTGTTAGTAAATATATCCCATGAAAGCAACCAGTGCTGTGTTTTCTTTGCTTTTTGTACAGATATTCTCAGCATTTATGCTTTAGTTAGTCTAGATATGAAGTGCGAATCACTGGAATCATGACTCACATGCACATACCAAAACAGAATGTGAGTTTTGTAATCGTAAGCATGTGTTCTTCCACAGAGAATGCTCGAATGTTAAGAATTTCAAAAAAAGTCATGAAACGAGAAAATGGTAATATTCGGATAAAAGCTTTTTCAGTGGATCACTCAGAAGTACAATGCGTATTCTCTTCCATTAACTCAACAGGTACGAAAAAACAAGCAGATTATGTAAAGAATTCAAATTATGCAAATGTTAAAAAAATGAAAAACTATTAAGGTTCTCCGATAGAAAGTCTTCGATCTTTTGACTTTCTATGTAATGACAGTATTCTCTGAATGTTGAGAAAAATCATACAACTGTCCAAAGTCTATATACAAAAGGATTTACCGCAACAGCTAAAGGAAATTCGAGCTTTGTGCTATTGTCGAAATCCAAGAACAGCTAGCGGATAAGAAGATTTTAGTGCCTTCTTTACTCCAAACACAAATTTGTGTGATGGTTAGCGTATCCAATTTCGATGAGTTTTTGTTTAAAAAACTGAAGTGCCAGTCTTGCTGAATGAGATATATTCATAATGATATAGTATCATTATGAATCATGAGTCGCCTAATATTTATTTTTTGAAGAATGTACGGAAGACACTCTGTGATGTACCAGCTAGCTGTAATTGAGTTCTGTTCGTCTAGCTTGATGGCTTTGACCAGTCCTGTGCTTTTGAAGAAAGCAACATACATTACCTTTCTCACTGTATGTTATCTTATTACTATTCTTGGTTAGAGGTCACTGAGATCACTTCAGTCACCACACCATACGCTACTTTTCTTATGTGTTGAAACGTCAAAAAATGTTGCGCACTGTTTGTCACCATTATGCGTTTAGGGATTATGCGGTATCCCATCATCAGTCATTAAATAATTTTAGAGCTGCTTTACTTCTTACGATATGCTAAGATTTTTGGTATTTATTTGGTTTATGGGGACTCCATGGCAGAATAATTTTGCATATTCCTCAAGAATATTTTTATGTCTAGCTTCGAATCCAATATTATTTTCATTCTGTATCATTTGGTAAGTACAGCGATTATCTTCTGAGACTATAGCTGACAAAGAACTACCTGTATTTTTGTCATCCAAAGGAGAATCTCAACCTCTACGAAATTCTGTAAACCATCTGAATAGTGGTACAAGATGGAGCTTAGTTTCCATATGCTAGTTGTAGACGTTGAATCCATTGTTCTTGATTCAGCCTTTTGTAAAATTATAGAAGATCATATAATGCTGTTACATCAATTTCTTTTTCCTTATTTCAAAATTTATTTTGCGATGGATACATTGCATAAAAAATCGTCTTCGGAAATTTAAAAAAAAAAAAAAAAAAAAAAAAAAATCAAATTTACATATCGAACAAAGGATTTTCTTTTTAGCGGATATTCTCTGTCCTTGTCTCAAACATTTCTGAGTTATCTACGTATGGCAAAGCGCACAAGGGCTATCTACAAAAAGAAGACTTTTTTAAGACCAATTGGCTCGTATTTACGTGACACATGGAGAAAAACATGAAAATGCGCATGCAGCCAGCCTATTCTTTCTTTTTCAATGGTAGATAATTTCACATTGTTGGAATTTCGAAAATTTTGAAATTTCTAATAAAGCTCATGAGAATATTTTTAATGGAATAATAACCAGATATTAAGTCAGTGAATCTTGTAGATTTCCTTTTACAACCCATTATGAAGGCAAAGTACTGGGGGCATGCCCTCATGATTATAAGAAAAAATCTGATGTGTACACCACATGACTTCCTTGCATTGGAATATTAAATTGGAATATTAAATTATACGCATTTTTTCTTGCATTTCATTTACTATTGGATTGATTAATCTACTTCGCCGACAGCATAAACCACAATAGAATAAATGCATTCTTAATTAACTCTAGTATTTGTTTGGCGCTAGATTCACTTAACAGTATTAATAATTATATAACAGTTAACTTATATAATAATTATATAACGGAAACTAAGTTAACTGTTTATAATCCAATAATTATATAACTTAACGTATATATTTCTTCATATTATAACTCATAATGCACAAAATTTATATCATTTAAAGAAAAATATCTAATCGTTGCCACATGTTCATCAAGTACTATAATAAAGCTAAAGCTAGAATGGTGTATAAAGAAATTGCTAACAAAACAAAAAAAGAAACATTTTTCACAGCTTGAGTTTCTCATTTAATTAATCAGTGCTCACTTCGCGAGAAGGCAAAAACATAAAAATCAAAATATCTATATTAAAATTACGAAGTAAATCTTAAACACTTTTCTTAGAAAAATTCCAGAAAGAATTAAGCATGGTTAATTGCAATAATAAATGAAGCTTTATCTTTGTTGTGCGAAGCTAAGTTTCTCTAGATGGCAACAATCCACTAGTCTCTGTTTCAATGAAACATCAATGGCCGCCATTAATATCAGGCTTAGCGGCATTAAACACTTTAAAATTGCTGATAATTCTAAAAATATTGCACACAGATTTACTAAAGGCATAAAAACCTTACCGGAAGATAAAAAACAAATTCAACCATTTTAAGCAAAACGTACAATTTACAAATATAAGAGTAAAAGAAACTGAGATCAACTGAGCCGGGTACAGAGTGGATTATATATAAAATATTTATATACGTTTGGTGAGGCCGATTGCAACGAAAAACGAGGGCACATCTACATTATAGCAGTCCTAATACAAAATTTCAACGTTCTGAGCTCCGTTTTGGTTATGCGAGATACGTACGTTACGTTACGTTCGTACAGACGGCACGAATTCTCCTCAGAATATTTTAAAGCAGTTTTATAATTTTTTTGAAGGAAAATTTTTTTAGCGTCCTTACGTACAGATATACGCAAAATATCGTTAATTGCTTCGTAGCGTTAAAATGAATTTTCGTTGAAATTGCGCTGAACTTCGCGATAAATACTTCCTTTTTACTTCGTATAAGGAAGTAAAAATGGAAATGTGCCTGAATGAATGTGACAGAATAAACTGAGGCTTGATTTCCTGTCTGCTATCCTGTGAGAAATTCTACTTGGTTTTTCTCTCAAATGTAAATAGTTAGTTGCTATTTCTGTAGGCCTGACATCATATATTTGGCAAATATTTAGTTAAAGATGCGAAATAACTAACCTTGCGATGGGTATTACTATAAATATATCTTGTTTTGAAGTATTTCATATCTAATTTTATACGATGCAAATTTTAGAAAAAATATTTATTATATTTTATAAGTAAGCGAGCTTTTAAATTTTGTTTTATGTCCACAGAAAGGTCTTTATCTGTCTTTTTTTATATGACATCTCTACGGAAAGGTCTTTATCTGTCTTTTATTCTGCTCTTGTTATCAAAGACTCTACAGCTCAACAAAAATAAAATGGCTAAATCCGAAACAGAAATGATTATTTTCGCATTTTAGTTTTATTTATGATTAAAAAAAGTTCAGAATCGAAAATAACACGCTTTAGCAAGATAAACAATTCGTTGTTAAAAAAAGCTAATATTTTTCAATGGGGTGTAATTTTTTGTTAATGAACTTAACAAAATAGCTCGTTTATATATTTGTATAAACATATATATCTCATTGTATGATGTAACAGAGAAAAATGTACCTCATATTTGAATTAAAGAGTTCACATATTTTCATCTGTAATTGGGTCAGATTATTAGCCATTCTTGTTTGCAGCACCTTTAGAAACCTAGAATAAAATTCTGTTTTTATTACTGAGTGATTTTGCCAAAGACATATAACAAAAATGCACAATAAAAGAAATTCTAAATTTAAAATTCGGTCTTCCAAATGTCCATATTCGGGTGGAGGAGCACGTTATTCAGTATTTGATGGCTCTAGATACTTTTTTTTACAGTGCGAAAAATATGCATACATACATGCAAATTCTTCATTATTTAATTTCTTTAAATATAACGCAAGGCGATATTATTTAGTGGCAACAATGTGAAAACTGATTCAGACTTTTATAGCGATTCAACGCAAAATTCCGTTTTGAGACTAATGGCCCTTTTAGGCTAACGCTTTTTAGGATAATAATTTAGTTAATAAAGTCCTGGCAACAGTGAGTATTGTTGTATTAAGAGATCGCTTTTCGCTATGCTGTTGTTCCAAAGATGTGGTTCTATTTCAGTTAGTAATTCCAATTAAAACTTCCTATTTTTCTTCTGCTATTCGTTTTATGTTTTAGTTAGAGAAACACTTTTTGATGGAAAATTATAAAACCATTTGCTTAAGAAAATAATACGTTATATTTCTCATGTAACTATGCAGTTCGCTTCGGAAAAACAGAGCCCTCTAAGTTATCAGCACAGAGCATGTATTTCATGAGTACTCGTAACTTTCATGATAAACTGTCTATGCAATACAGTAGAAGAGCAAAGAAATTGGGAGGGAGGCCTATAAACGACGCAGAGCAGGGCAGAATGATTCTCATTCTTGTTATAAGAGCACTTAAGGAAGATTGATGTGAGATGAAACAAAGGAAAATCTATCAGAATGATGAGTTAAAGTTAAGGATAAAAAGCGATTCTACGAAGTATAAGAATTTGTGTTATATGATTTAGACGGGATAAAATATATTTATTCAGTTCCTTGTTAAGTGCGCAAGTGTATGCAGTTATTATTTATGAAGATGTGTTCCTCTCACCAAAATTTCCGTTCCCCGACTCTGATATGTGAGGATAGCAAACTTCTTGAATGAGTTCGAGATTTATACAGAATCTAATTTTACGTGAACTGCTTTTAAAGCATTTTGTGTTAATCACGTACCTTAACCATAGGAATTAGATTTTAACCTTTTTCTAGATCCCTATTTCATATCATATTTAAATGATATGAAATAATGTGTGCGGAAGGAAGGGCTATTTTAAAATTCTTATAGTTTTTGATTTCATGAGCGCCAAAAGTAGTTTATTTAATTTCTCCCCTTTTTACACATGATTTCATGTAGGTATTGCGTTTCGTATGTATTTAATAAAAATGTGCTTTATAATATTAGTGCTGAGTGAGATTTTCAAGTAAAATGCTTCTAAAGCATTTCGTGTAAATTTATAAATGATATTTAGACGCTTTTTATAATCATTTCTAAAATTTCATGATTTCTAAAATTTCGTTCTAAATTCTAAAATTTCATAATCATTTCTATAATCATTTCTGATTGTATGAAATAATATGACATTGGGGGGAAATATGTTTAAAATTTCTAAGTACTGTAATTTTACGGGTCCAGGTACTGTAATTTTACGGGTCCAGCAATTAAATATAATAAAGATTAAAAACTAACTTTGTTGTTTTTAAATCACTGTTTTTTAATCAATGACAGACACATTAAATTTGAAAGAAAAATTAAATTTCTTACGTTTTGACGAATGGCAACACACTGGGGATGAAAGATAAAAATTTATCTCGAGCAGTGACAACGCATTCCTTGTAAACCATTGAAGTTTCGGATTAAATTTCAAGCATAAATATTTTACGTTTTGTCGGTGCTTTTAAGTCGCTAAATTTGTTGATCAACATTTTATTAATTTTGGGCAAAACATAAATAAGTAAAAAACAAAACCAAAATTCAAAATTTGAGCTTTGGGGTGCACATGTTTAGGAGGACTATGTAGTATGTTCAAATTTGAACATACATAGAAAGACATACATAAACTCCAAGAAAAACATACATATAAATTTACTGAGGTAATATTCTATACTTTCATACCAGTAAAAAATATTGTCAAAACATTTTACCTAAAAAATAAATTTTCCTTGCATTTTTAACTGTTCTAAAATTAGGGCGATGGTAAAATCCACTACTACACAATCCCCATTAGTTTGGTGGGGGGGGGGTAATGGAGATAATCCTTTCTTTCTCTTTTTTCCAAACATTGCTGTTCTACAACTAATCTAGGCATGTAGTCTAGCTAGCAGGTGCACTTCAGTTGACAGACAAGTATTTGACGTGTGGGGGAGAAGTGTGGAGGAGAAGAGGGTCCGAATTTCGGACTTAGACTTACTTAAATGGTACTCCATAACTGCATTGTAAAAGCATATTCGTTTGCAGTAGGTAAACTTCAATTTTGTCTGAAATATTTTTGCACGAGTAGATTTGTCATTTCAGCACTGTTTTCTAGCGCTGCGTATCGATTCCTTTTATCGAACTGTATTTCAAATATGCGTTGGTTCCGGAAAGAAAACCAATTTTTTCAAAAAGTTTCGTGTTCCGGAAAAGTTTTGAAGATAAATAAGAGATATCCATTTCGGAAGAAATGGGAAGTCGTGGAGAGTGCCTAATGTTATTTACTCCTTCCGCTCTGAACTTGTTAAATGTAGAAAATCTTGAATTGCGTAAATAGTTTCTGTTTGTTGAAAGCTTATTTTCCTCTCGTGCTTTAATTTTTGAGTTGCTTTATTTACGAAAAGTATAAACGAGTTTACCCGAAAGTGATGGAAAATGTAACGTCACCATATATTTTGTTTCTATTTATCTTTGTTTAAGGTTGAATGATTTGGATTAAAACCAAATGGAAATTTACTTTTTGGAGAACTTTTTCTATTCACTTCAGTCCAATTTGGTACAGCCCACCAGCGGCCGAGCGGTAACGTTTCTGAACACTGGTAGTTCGGTCCGAGGTTCGAATCCCGCGAACGGGCTGGCTGCATGGGTGTTCGTGGTTTTCCCCATGTGTAACGTGTATACGAGCCAGTTTCCCTTAGAAAGTCCTCCACGAAGGCATCCCTCCCCTTAGGCAGATAGCCCTAGTGTGCTTTGCCATAATTAAATACACACACACACACCAATTTGGTACATCAAATGTTGAGTCTCGTCTTTTCTGCACTTACTTTTGAAGAACTGGAGATATTTTTGTGAGTTATAGATTGCCTTTTTACGGTATTATTCCAGTTTTTAAAATTTTTTGTTGCTAACTTAAATACGTAGGTGGTTTTTTTATTTTTTCAAAAATATTCGTAAATTAATTTTTAAAAATGGGCTTCTGGTTAATTAAGTTGAACAGAAACGTATTTATGAGTACCAGATTTTAGTTGAAAACATTTAATTCTCACCGAACCACCTCCTGGCGAAATTTCAATGAGAAAGAAATAAATCAGGCGAATCAGTTTTCAATTTTTAATTTACAACAACAAATGTCATAAAAGCTGTTGAAAGATCTATTTAATTTTTTTTTTAGAATATAATAGTTTCTTATATTTTTTTTAACTTTCAAACTTATTTCAGATTGCCTTTATTTATCAGTTACTTTAATGAGTTAATTATTATATATTTGTAGGAATCTTGTAGTGGTATCTAGTAATAAGTTAAGCTCTAACGATTTTAGACGTCTCATGTAAAAATATAATAAATATTATCACGTATAAGTATCACGTGCCTTAAGATATTCCATTCCCTGACTTCCACCTGTGGCCGAACAGATAATATTGTTGAACACTGGCAGCTAGAACAACATTTGTGTAACTTCTTAGCTGATTTAAATTGTTATTTAATTTTTTCGAACTGATTAGTAATTTAATTTGGTACCAATTTTATTACTTTGAATTTATTGAATGTTTCATGATTTTAAGAGATAAAATGTTTTATTTGAGTTGTAATTGTTTTACTTAAATTGATAATTGATAATAAATAATCTTTTAATAACTTTCAAGGAGAAACTTATTATATTTAATTTCTGTTTGAAAACTTAATTCTTAATTTTATTTTGTTTGGTTTTATTCTTTCGAATTAATTGTTGTTTGTTTGGTTTTGTTAAAAGGGTTACAATCGTAAGGTTTACTAATTTAAAAAATTTGTATTTTATGTTATAGTTCATTGTTTTGCTAATTTTAATTTGTTTTAATTTTTCTCCTCCTCCCTATATAATCAATGACTCGTTTGATTATATAGGAAGGTTACGTTTAATTACGTTTTGGTTCGGCTGGTAATTCTGACAAAGTTTAATTTAGTAAAATGTTTTATGTAATACTAAAGAATTTAGTACTTAGAAATGTTTGAAACTACTATTTTTCTTACCTAGAGCTGTAAGCTGTGTGTTAATTCCAGAATTTGTCCGTAATGTTTCTATCATCTATTTCGAAGGGGGCGATCTTCGCTGGTCACACTGTCTCGCAAAAAGTATGTAAAAACATTTTGAGGTATTGGAAATGGGCCTGACTTCGAAGTTAACGATTGGTATGCTTTTACCGTCTAAGCTGCTGATGGATAGGGGTCGACACTGTTTTTTTATCATGAGTCAATTGGAAAAGAGACCCGGTAGCGAAGCTAATGTCGTTAATGTTGTTTTCGAAAAGTGTCGACTATTGGAGGCCTACGTAATGGGAGGAGGAGGTCTGTTTGTTGACCTAGTCTAGAGAACTTCGAGTCCAGAGGAGGAAGAAGAAGCGATTTCTGCCAACTTCAGTTCAACCCATTGGTTGACGCATCCCAAAAGTTACCACTATCGTCTGCATCAAGCAAACCTAAAATGTTCACTTTTAATTTTTCTCCTCCCTTTCCATCAAGCGAAGATCCCTTTTCCATTAAGCGAGCCCTTTAGGTTTGCTTGATGGGATGATTTTTTTTTATTCCATTGGCATTGTAACCTCACTGGCCGTCCCTCACTTCCTGTTCTTCCCTTTTTTCGTTTTAAGTTTGCAAAGCTTTCTCTTTCCCTTTTGCCGTTTGGCCTTCCCTCTCCCCTTTTGTCA